TAAAAATGTAATTTCAAAAGACAATTTTTTGTTGTTTGAAAAAGTTGATTTTTTAAAATCGACACAGAACGACTTCTCGGTTTTTTCAAGTCTTAACGAACCAATCTACAAAAAACTCAATAACATTTTTTTGACGTCTTCACAACTTTTCTCGACTTTACAAACATTTTCAAATGACAACTTTCCGGTGTTGGAACACGTCAATTTTTATTTTAATACCAATGACATATTTACACAAAACAACAAACAACATTTCTTTCAATTTATTCACGGACTTTCGACAATTGAAAAGCTCAAAACAATAAGTTTTCATTGTGACTCCGAGGCTCTTATTTTAGCGAACGAAGTTGCTGAGATATTCAAAGGGCGTGACGTTAAAATCGCGTTTTATGTGCCTTCCGTCGACGACAAGACACTTTTCAAAGCCGTTCCCGAGAGGGTGTTAGTTATAGTCCGTGGGTTTGAATTTACGGATATGAAAAATGTGGTTTATGTCGGGTACAATCCCAACACCAAAATTACTACTGAAAATGCCAAGATTATTGAAGTCTCTGTTTCTAATCAATTTAAACAAAAAATAATACAACTTGAGTCTTTATTTAACATTGGTGATTTAAAACTCGTTCTTTTGGATGATGTGAAAGTCGAAGATAACGAAGTGGTGGACTTCTCTATGTTCTTCAATGTGGAACATATTACTCTGATTTCTCGTTTAAATAGTACTTTGAAAAAAGTGATTTTCCCGGAGATGTGCCATTCCGTCGAATTAATTGGAAAGTTCGATGAAGTTGTTGTAAAGTCAGAAACAAGGAGTGTGACGGTGGACGGTTTTGTTCTGAACTTTTTATTACCACCAAAACTGAATTTGTTGAACTACAAATACGAACATGAGGCGAGTTTAAATATAATTCCTTTAAAAATAGATTTGAACGGATTTGTTAATGATATTTCAATTAATATAACAGGAGATGGATTCAAAAACACAAAAACAAATGTCTTTTTTGTCGCTCAACGAATTGGTCAACTAAATATGGAAAATATAGAGTGGATTTATAACGTCAATTTGTTCACTAAACGAGTAGAAAAGAACATTGTTAATGTCTCCTTGTTCAATGTGGTGATGGATGACATTTTAAGCAGATTTATAGTCAAATTATACCCACAAAACCTGAGTCTGAGTATCAAAGAAACATTGGGGATACTCGACATCTCAAAAACTGTTATTGGAGGACTTGAAATGAGTTATTTAAATAACATAAAAGGAGATACGATTGCACTGAAACTTCCCGAGAATATTCGAAAAATGGAAATAAGAAATTTCATGCACCTCAAGGTCGATATATTGAATCAAACACAAGTTAAAAATAAAGCACTGGTTTCTCGTTTCTTGTTGCTCAAAAATATTCAAAAAGACCATGAAAAGAGAAAAGTTTCAAAAAAACAGCTGAACAGAAAAAAGGAGAAAAAAGAAAAAAGAGAGACGTATCAAGAAAAACTTATGAAAGGAAAAGAACAATTAGATTTTGGTGAAGAAAAAAAAGAAATTGATGATGAAGATTATTGATTTTTAATTTCTTTTTAATTGTTATGTTTTAAAAATATTAAAAAATTAAAAAATTAAAAATATCAACCAAAACTTAAAAAACCGAGTTTGATATTTTCTCTTTCGAAAATGGTGTAAGATTATTATTGTTATATTCTAAATGTTAAACAATTTATTAAAATATTAATAAAAAAGTTGGATTTTGTAATTAAATAAATGTTTTGAAATTATTAATTGTTTATACTGTAAAACTTATCAAGAGCGGTATATTTAAAAAGAAAGTTATCTTAACACTTAAAAGGGATACAAAATGAGTTTTTGGGAAATAAATTTAAAAATAACAAATTTATACAAAATATAATGTTTAATAAAATTTTAAATAAAATAGTAAAAAACTTAAAAAATTAAACAAATCTTAGCTCTAATAATTGAATATCTGTTAACGTCGAAATGGACACATATTTGTCCGCCTATTTTTACACATTTAAATTATTTTCTTTTGATATTATCTTTATTCATTGGTTTTTAAATAAAAATTATATTTGTTGTTAATAGACTTGGCACCCGCGCTTTTTATTATGAAAAAATAGTATTTAAAAATGCCATTTAAACGGGATGTCATTTTTTATATGGTTCTTTGGCGTTTTTAATACTAATAATCACGATTAAAAAAACGAACCCGAAGTTTAGTTGTTAACACTTAAAAAAAACATGGTGTTATTAATATTGATTTGTTTTATCGGTATATATATTATTTTTTGGCATTTTTATTTTTTGGGACTGTGTGTTGTAATACACATTATAAACTTCAATAATAAAATAAAGTATGTTATAAACTCAATATTTTCTAATTTTAAAACACTTAAATTTGGTTCAATGTAATTTTAAGTGTTAACAAGACAACATTTTTAAATAGCAACAATAATGGACTGACTTTTAGTAAATAATATAATAACAAAACAATTAAATTGTTTAACTTGAACAAATCAACACATCTGAACAACCAAGAGTCTTTTAACCCTCAACGGTTTGTTTTCGTTTAATCCTGTTGTGCTACCAAAGTTAAAATAGCGAGTTTCACATGTATAAGCACTTAACTTGGGTTGTTTTAAATCGGTTTCTCTGATTAAGGTCATATCATATTCCCCAAAGCGAAAAACATTACAGTCCAAATTATTTCCAAGTTTAAAAAACGCATTATTTTTTCCAACATGTTGTTTTGCGGTTATCACTCCATTTGAATTTACTAATGACGCTAAAAACATGTCTGAACCCAACACATAAATTTTTTCCTTTTTTAATATTTTTGGTTTCACAAAGCCACACACAACACAATCATTTGTTGTGATAATGATGTAATACAAGTTCTCTTTATTGAGAACCATTTCACAAAAATTACAGTCTTTTCCTTGGATAAATTGAAGGTCGCTGTCGTATATAATATTCATTTCTTGGCACGAACTCCATTCTTTTAATTTAGTTATTAAATAACTACTTTTGTCTTCTTCTGTTTTTAAACTTTCTGGACAAACTTCATTCGAAATAAAACTTCCCATCTCTTTAATTAGATTTTTTTAATTTAGTGTGATGAATAAATTCATATCAAACCTCATTCTTTAAAATTGATTTTTTTTAATTTGAAAAAATAAATGCAAAAAATAAGTTTCTATTAGTGCCTTCAAAAATACTCATACTTGGTAACAATTACTTAATACTTACTCAACCACTGTCGCTTTTTGAATGAATTTAATCCACTTTCAGAATTGAATAAAAAGTTTATAAAACTCGGCTTGTATTTAATGAACCGAGTTTTGTTGATTGTAGAAAATGTTTTTTTACATTCAAATCAACATTGAAATAAATTTAAGTGGTTTCAAACCATAACAAAATATCTTTATTTAAATAGTAAAGCACTAATGGTCTAAGGGCAGAATTTCACCCTCCCAAGGTGGAGATCCGGGTTCGAGTCCCGGTTAGTGCATTTTTTATTAAATAAAAATTTATTTAACGTGTTGGAGCTTTCTTTTCTCCGTTTTATATGAAAATAATAAAAAAGTTAATAAAACCGTTTGAACTCTTTTGTGAATTATTATTATTGTGATTTTAGTAAAAATAATATTAAAATGATAACAAAAATCATTAATATATTCGTATTGTTGTTATTTATATCAATCTCCAAATGTTTCATTATTTATAGCAATTTGCTAAAATGAAGAACTTTTGTAATAAACCTTTTGTTTTTACTCAAGTTTGTTTCGAAAAAGCAAATATTGAATTGATGAAAAATAAATTGTTATGAAACACTTGATATTGTAATACAGTAAAAAGTATATATTTGCAACGAAAAATTATTATTTTAAAACAAACGAATATACGAATTTATTTGTTATAATAATTATAAATTGTTGTGAAACTAACTGTACTTATCAAACTTCATTTATTTTTCTTTTTATTTAATTTAATATTAAAGTCAGTCTGAAAACGTTGTCCGCTTTCCATCGTTGTCTTGAAAATTTTGGACCATCAAAACTGGAATTATTCGGGAAAGAATTCAGACCACTTTCAAAACATTGTTTCATATTTTTACTGGGTTTTCAACTTTTTTCCCAATTTCCAATTTTTAAATTTATTTTGTGTAAAAATTTGTCAAATGTACAAAATTTTACAAGCGGACAACGTTTTTAGACAAACTTTTTTTATTTTTCAAAAACATAAATATAACCATATTCAAGTTCGATCTCTATATAGACAAGTAAATATCTCCGATCTAATTAGTTTTCATTTTTCATGTTATGTTTTTTTTCGTTATACTCATTAATAAAAACAAAATATTTTTTTACAAATTTGTTCTAGAAAAATAATTATTTGTATATTTGGGGTTTTATTATAAAACAGTTGACCAAATTTAGAAATACAAATACTTTTTTACACTTTTAACTGTCATCCAATCGAAAATTGGTATTTGTGGGTTAGTGTTTTCATTTCGAAATCAAAATTTTAAATCCTGTCACCAAAACCATGATCAAAATTAACTTACAATTTATATAAATATAATTTGAATATACAGTAAAACAATTAACTATTTATTTTTTATAAAATTTTAGTTTAAAATACAAAAACCAAAAAAAACTTTAAATAGATTATTATTAAATGATATAGTATATTGTTATTATTATTTCAGATCGTTTATTATAGTTATTTATAATAGTAAATGAACTCAAGTGATTATTTTTTAATTATAACAACTCGAACAAGTTGATGAATGATAATACAATCACAATATTCGTAAATAATATTAATAAAAGTATATTTTAATTCATTATAATTGTATTATAAACATGTTGTATATATGGATAAACACGAAAACAAAGTTTGCAAACAACACCAAAAATGTCTTCATTATTTCAAAGACACAACTTAGGTTTATGTTTCAAGTTAACGTTTCTACTTCAACTTTATCAAGAATTCAGATACAGTTAGTTATAAATTAAATTTATAATAACCCAAAGGTAATTATAAATTTATTATTTAAAAAACTATTAATTAATAAAAACTTAAAATATAAATATAATTTTTTTTTGGAAAAGTGTGTGTGATTTAATTATATTTTTTTATTAATTTAACAACTAAAATAACTAACGAATTGTCATTTCATCGTTCAAGGAATTATTTGAAAACAATACTCTGTGTTATTTTTGGCTTTCAACCAAAGGCATTTCATTCATAAATAATTTTGGATGGTATAAAAGGAACAACGGACTTTTATTGTGCATATCACAATGTCGTTAACCAAGGCACTTCAGCTTCAATTTCGAAAGAAGAAGTCCCATAAAAGCACTCTTCGACCTTCAAGTGATAAACTCCCATTTCTCCTAGAGTTATTAGATGATATGTACAAACAAATTACAACACCAAGATGTGATAAAACTATAGAAGATAAAGAAGTTGACGATGAAATATTTGGTATATTGACTAACACCGAAACTGATACAAAATTCGTTTTTGTTGGAGATCCGAACACCGTTATAAAAGAAAAGATTAATGAAATATATTATTAATTATATAAATGTGTATTGTATTATGTTTATTAAAGTTAAAAAAAATATGGGTATAAATTAAATTAAGATTTTTTTATTTAAGGGATTCATGAGGATTGTTAATTTTTCTGAGGATGGTAAATATCTTAAACATAATTTCTTTCAATTTAGATTTTTTTGCCTAAGATCAAAAAGGTATATTTTGAAACACATGATTTTCTTTAAAAATGCTATTTATGGATTTTTTGAAAGATGATTCTTTCAGTTGATTTTTACAAAAAAATAATCTATTTCTATTTTCTGATTTACCACAAGATTAACCTTGGTTTAAATGAAAACATTTGACAGACATTTAAATTATCGAAAAAGTCGATTTTTTAATAAAAATCACAAAAAAATTAATTGAACAATTTTAAATCTTTTTTTCACAAAAAAACACAATTTATTAAAAATCAATTTATGATATTTCAAACAATAAAAATTGATAGCAAATAACGTATTAATAACGTATACTCTATGCGATGACAATTTATGTATTTGCGCAAATTCAAAACGCGAGGTTTTGAAGATCGATAAAACAACGATTGATAAATAAACAAATTTTTAAAATAAAATCATTTTTGTTTTAAACGGTTTTATTTATATTTCAAAACATATATACACAAGAAATATATGTTTATATTATTTTTTATACAATATTAATTTCAATAAATGTATCTTCAATTTATTAATCAATTTTATATATTAATTGGCGTTTTTGTTGTGTTTTGACGATTTTTGATATAATCAATTATCAAAACTCACTTTATAAAAATTCTTTGATAATTTTATTTATAGAATTTTAAATCAATAATGGCAGTGCTATACATATCTCTGAGGATGGTAAGTCGTGTAACAAACAGACTTTATCAACACAGACTTAAACATCTAAAAAGTGAAATGATGTGTTCCCATATTCAAAAATAGTAACTTACTCAATATACA